CAGGATGATACCCAATGTCCACCGCAGCATTCTTGTCTCCATGACACTAAGCTTGTGTTCTTCATTTCGCTACTGGGCCAACATTCGCTGCTGTACAGCTCTTTGGGACGGATCACAGCACGGTATATCTGGGATTTGAGTTGCACTGGCATTCGCTTGTCGCATGGAACTATTGTGAAGGTTCTCCATTCCATCAGGGATGCGTTTGTCCTGGCAGATATCTCATTTTGAAGACCTCCTTCGCCAGAGATGCAACTTCCTGGGCACTTGAAGGTGCTCGCTTTCTTGATTGGCTTCTCATCGATGTATATGGTTTCTGAAGTTTGACCTCCCACTACCATATATTCTGTCTTCTTTGTATTGAGCTTCAAGCCATACGACCCTAATTGGTCCTTCTCCTCTATGTTTCTTCTTCAAGTTCTTTTCTGTTTTCTGCTACAACACCACATCGTCTGCATATAGGAGAGTCCATGGAGGCTGTCGCTTGAGACCTTCTGTCACTGCATCCATTACTGTGATGAAGAATACAGAAAAGAGCACTCCTGATGCACGCCTGTCTTTATGCGGAATGGCTTTGACTGTCCGTGCACATGGCTCCTGGCTCCGTGATAGATCACTTTTATCCATTGGATGTATACTTCTGGAACCATGTGCTTTCGCAGTACCCACCTGACATTGGGAGCCCTTGTCGAAAGCTTTCTTATATCAAGGAAAGCCGCATGCAGCTCTCTTCGTTTTTCTCTATGCTTCTCCATCACTATCCGTACAGTACGGATGGCGTCAATAGTACCGGTACCCTTCACAAATCCGCACTGATTGGATGGCAACTCTATGATCTGAAGGCAAGCCATGAGACACCGAGCCATCTGCATTCTTTCCAGAGTTCGCTTGGTATGTCTTTCGGCAGAAGCCTTGCTCTTTGTCCTTGCCATACTTCCTCTGCTGTTATTAGTTATGGTACTGGTCCTTTCACAGGGTCAGCTGGTAGTAGACGACATTTCTTCGAAGTACGCTCACCATCTCTCAGTTATTTCCTATGGTCTTCTCAACGTTTTACCAAGGTTATCCTTCACATGGTAGAAGTATTCCATATCTTTTGCGGATTCTGCCCTCGCGCTATTCGGTATATGTCGATCCAAATTTTTTATACAGCTTCTACGTATGCTTTTGCAGCGTGCTTCTTTTAGTACAACTGTCGATCGCTTTCCGATTTCGACTTTTGCCATTGCTTGTATGCCTGACTCATTTCCCTAATTGCCGTTTGAACCTCATTTCACCACCAAGTTTCTTTGTCGATTCTTCTCTTTCCTGGCGTTGTGTGACCCAGTAAACTCCTTGCCACCCGATGCACATGACGCTTCAAGGTTAACCATAACTGTTTTGGTTTCTCACATAAGGCCAGTAGAGTACTTACCAGAGCTTCTTTGGCCAGAGAGTTCCCTTTCAATTTCCAACTTGATTCGTGCTTGTAGTTAGTCATGGGTTTTCTTTCTCGTTCAACCGGAATCTTCAGGTCTAGAAGCAGTGGCTTACGCTGAGGTGTGCAGCTTTCACCTGGGACAACTTTGCATTCCTTTATGTTCTTTAGGTTATTGTAACGCACTGCCCAGTAGTC